ATAAAATTATTATTAATTACTTTTCTTTTTTTTTTTTTTTTTTAATAAAAATTACCTTATCTTGTAAAATAATTTCTCCATTTTGATAGCCAGGATGATCAAAGAAAATTGTATCAGGTGGAAAAACAAGTATTTCCGATATATGAAAATCCTGAATAAAATTCGGCTTTTTTAAATTTTTTACAACATTTAAATGCTGAATATAATTCGAACATTTTGGCATTAAAGACCATCCTTCTTCTTGAAAATAAGATATTCCTTTTTTTAGTGTCACTAACAATGTGTTGATACGAACGTACCTTGCATTTTTTACTTTTACTGAAAAAAATGAGATTTTTTTTTTAACAATTATATAAAGGTATTTAACTTTATAATGGATATAAAAGAAAACTCGTGCTTTATGACTAAATTATTTATTGTTAAATACATATTGAATTGAACTATATTCAATATTGGCATAATTATATTTGTACAATAATAATAAAAAAATATAAGAATATAAATTACATTTACTATATGTAATTATTAATACGTAATTATTACAAATATCAAATATTAATATGTTATTAATATATTATATATGAAATAAAAGGTATCCTATACAATTTTAATCTACAATTACAAATAACTCATAAATTACTTGCACAGAAAAAAAAAATTCAAAAAAAAATAGAATGATTTCAAAAAAGATATAAATATGATATTTATTAATTTTTTTGTAGATAGATATATAGAAATTATATCAAAATCACATAATTTTTTAAATGAAATTATTAAATTTATTAATCAATCCTTGTTATTTTTTTCAATATAAAAATGATTTTATTTAAAAGATATATGCGATTAATATATGATTTTCTTATATGTTCATCTATAAAAAAATTAATTATATTATGTTCTTCTTCTGAAAAATCATTCAATTATTTTCTGAATTATTTTTTATACAATAACAAGTAATTTATGAATAATTTATAAATATGGATTAAGATTGTATGCCTTTTTTGTATAAGATAAATACAATCATTATTTTTTATACATTTAAAATTTCATTTAATATCTAATCAATTTTTTCATTTAAATTATCTTTAGATGATTCTGCAATTGATTTAACCTCGGAACCATTATCAGGTTCATGAAGTGCCTGATAAATATAACAAGCTATTATTAAATTTACTGTAAGCACTGCAGCAAACACAGAAATGCAATTTGTTATAAATCTATCTACATGAAATTCAGCTTTCATAACATGTTGTACACCAAAAAATGCAACAAATGGAAGAGTAAACATGGCAATACTATATAAGAATAATTTTCCCAAAACATCTGTGAAACTCATAGCTGGTATTTGATCTTTATTTTGATCAAAAGAATTTTCTTTTTGATTTATTTTTTGTTGATTTTTATGCATATAAGAGAAAAATTTTTTTATTCTGGGATGTCGACTAGTAAGTATTCGGTTGTTACGGATGATTAAAACCATTAATCCAGATGCAAAATTCCTTTAGAAGAAAAGTGATTTAATATATCTTAAATTTAAGATCAGATGTGGCTATTAATTTCCTTGTACATGAATGGCCCATTTCTGTAAACATAATATGCATTCATTGATAAGTAATATAATATATTTTACCTGTTTCAGGAGATGTTGGAAATGCATCAACACCAATATTGTTTAATTCTTCTCGTAATTTTTGTTCATAAGCAAGAATAGTTTTAATAGGTTTACAGTCAGTTTTCAAGGCGTTTTTGCCCCAAAGTAATTCTGTTATCAAGATTTTTGCTAACCATGCATCGAAACGAGGCTCATTCATTAATAAATTAGTTTTATTTATTAGGTTATCTATTTGTCCTTCTTTTTGCAACGTTTTGACACACAAGGAATATATTGCGGATTTATTCTAAATTGTTGAAAAAAAATTAAGAAAAATTATTTAATAATGATATAAATAAATCTTGATATGCATTCTTTCAAAAATCATTTGATCATGATACGATTATAAAGAATAATCATTTAAAGAATTTTTAATATACATATATGTATATGATATAAATTTATTTTGGTTTAATTTTCTGTTTTTTATTAATAAAAATAAACTTACAGGATGTCTTTGATTATAAATCAATGATTTGAGACTGCCACCTTTTTCACGAACTTCCTGAATGACTTTAGCAGCAGACTTATACAGTCTTGGAACTTTGATGGAATGTACAAATTCTTTAGGCATGTTATCGCATTAAAATCGTAGCGTACTATGTAATATCAAACGTAATATCAATCACTTACTATTCAATTAATTATTGGCTTCTTTATAGAAACGTTCTTTGTATATATAAAATAAAACGTGTCCGCCATGCTATTAGAAAATGCGCACAAATCAGTGGATATGTTGTACACATAAAAAGAGAAAATTATTTTTATCAAAAAACATAGTTTAAAACAAAATTTAATTGAATAAATAATTAATCTTATGAATATATATTTTTTTAAACTATTTGTGACAATTTTATCGCAAATAAATTCAATATTAATATCTCGTATGGCGCTTTATTCAAAATCAATTTAGTAATTTTAATAAAATTTAAAAAAAAATATATACAATTTTTCAATCAAAATAAGTTCGAAATATCTAATATTATAAAAAAATTTTCTACAAAATAAATAAAAGGTTATGAAGAAATTAATGATAATTAAAAATAAGCTTTCATTTATTGAATGTCACGTGTTCGTTCTCTTCTAATCAGTTCATATGTGAATCTATTTTAATGTAATGTATTGCGATCTATTCATTAATTCGTTAGATACTTGTAATCTCGAAATGTTATTTGTTGTTTTATATACCATCAAATTTATATTCAACTAAAAATATGATATTAAAAAGATTGTAATTACCAACGGTAAGATAATCATTTATTAGACTAAATGAAACTTTATTCTAGGTTAGATTCCGGCGAATAATCAAAATTATATTTTTATTTTTTATATTAAAAAACTTTATTTTTCTTAAATACAAATATTTAAATAACAAATAATTAACATTTATTGTTTCATTAATATATATAACAATGTGTGTTGTTATTTCATAAATGAAATATGAAATAAAAAGATCTGTTGCAATTCTTTTTGTATGGAACATCTATATAAAATAGGAATAATTTATAAATATCACAATTGATAAGTAACACTTTAAATAGCTCATTCAGTACGAAAACAAATCATTTTATGTGTATAATTATTTAAATATTGAGATATATGAATTAGAAAAATCAATTAGTCTTATTGCTTTGAATATTTTACAAAATATATAAATTTTGTATATTAATAAATTTAATATAAAACACTTATTATATGATAATAAATTGTTTTAGAACATTTGGACTAACGGAGACTTGAAACTTATATCTCATTTATATTGCAAAGGATATTTCAATGACTAAAGATAAAAAGGTTTTATTACCTTATATATTATATTAATACATATTTTATAGTGCTTATATATAATAGAGTTCATATAGATCATGTAGTTAATCATACAAAGATAGATATGCATAAAATATAGATATATATGTGTGTGTATGTGTATTTTATGCATAATTTTAGAATTTAAGATATGAACTCTTCTATTATTAGAAGCTTATAAATTTTAATATCAAAATATGTAGTATTTTGATGTGTTTTGATGTATTGTATTGTATTGTATTATTTTTATATATTAAATTTGTTTAAAAAATTTTTTGTGCAATATAAGTTATTATTTTATTTTATTTTATATTTAATTTTAATAGCTAAATACCACATGATGATGCTTAATATATATGTTAATAATATATGTTTTTATATGTATATATGTATATATATATATATATATTCATTTGTTTGTTAAATTTCTTTATTTTATTTAATTTTATATAATTACATATAAAATGTATATTTATAATCT